CCTACCAGGGGCTCTCGCCAGCTGAGCCAATGGGCTGGGTCTATATCCCCAAGAAGTGGGCACATGACCAGGCCAGATCAATCAGAGAATTCCATCCCTTTGACCACAGGGATTGGTTCAGGGGTAGACATGTGACCCAAGTGTGTCCAGTGAAACCAAGTTCTGGGACATCTGTTGGAATCATTGGGAGAGAGAGAGAGAGAGGTCCTCTTTCGGCTGTTATCCCTCCACAAGGGACGTTATTCTCTCCCCTTAGGCTGATGCAGAGGTGGAGAGAGGAAACTGAGGCGTGATGTAATGGCTTGGTGATCTGTACCAGCCTTGCCTGAAATCAAAGTTGATTCATGTGTGTGAGTCAAGAATCTTTTCTTTTTAAAAGCTTGTTTCTGGGCCAGGCATGGTGACTCATGCCTGTAGTTCCAGCACTTTGGGAGGCTGAGGTAGGAGAATCACTTGAGCCCAGGAGTCTGAGACCAGCCTGGGCAACATGGCGAGACCCCATTTTCACAAAAAAATTAGAAATTAAAAATTAGCCGAACATAGTGGTGTGCGCCTGTAGTCATAGCTGCCTGTAGTCCCAGCTACTTGGGAGGCTGAGGTTGGAGGATTACTTGAGCCCAGGAGTTTGAGGCTGCAATGAGCTATGATTGCACTACTGTACTTTGGCCTGAGTGACAGAGCGAGACCTTGTCTCAAAAGGGAAAATGTTTCCGTTATTTGTAATTAAAGCAGTCTAGAGTAATGAAGGTTAATTCAAGGCCATGGCACGAACCTGGTAACGCTTGTTCTGAAATGCTTGGTTTTGTGGGATCAGAATAGACACACTCGGCAGATGAGCCAAAAAATGTCCTTCTTAGAATGTAGTTCGGGAAAAGAGGATGATGGGCTTAAAGGAGACAGGAATAGCTGTGGACATGGCCTTAGACGTCTTTCATTCATCTGACCACTCCAAGGTCCTTACAGAGCACCTGCAGCGGGCATAACGCAGTCCCGATGGGCACACATCAGATGAAGACAAGCGTCCTG